CTTCAAGTGACTGAGAAGACTTAGTGAATCAAAGTTTGAACTTTGAAAACAAAATACTGCCAATTTAAATAAGCTTAAGAAGCAGACATTCAAAGCTCTTCATGGAAAATTAAATAAAGCCCTTCAAAGAAGAAGATAAGACCTGAACTAAAGATTATATATTAAAGGGTAACCTAGAGTCATTCACTAAAATGATGGTAGCCCGAGCTGAAGAGGATATTTCAAGATTGTGGAAGGATGTTTTATTTGGTTAGCTTATATTGTGGGCTGCTATGCTATGTTAGTGAGAAAGAAATCACTCAAATTATGTTTCCATTCAGAGGTTTCTAAAATGGTGTTCCTTTTTGGAAAAACCCTTCCAAATACAAGACAGTAGGCTTTTTCCTCCTGTCTTTTCTTTAAGCAAAGGAAAAGTAAAATAGAGGTAAATACAATAGAGATAAGGCCATGTGAGGTGACTCACGCCTGTGATCCTAGCACTCTGGGAGGCCGAGGCAGGAGGATTGCTTGAGGCCAGGAGTTCAAGACCAGCCTGAGTAAGAGTGAGACCCTGTCTCTATTAAAAATAGAAAAATTAGCCAGGTGTCATGGAGAACACCTGTAATCTCAGCTACTCCGGAGGCTGAGGCAGGAGGATTGTGTGAGCCCAGGGGTTTGAGGTTGCAGTGAGCTAGGCTGATGCCACTGCACTCTAGCCCGGGTGTCAGAGACCCTGTCTCAGAAATACAAAACAAAACAAAAATAGGGATAAAATAAGGTCAAAAGGGATAAATGGTTAAAACTTACTCAAAGGTACAAAATGAACCTTCTTGGTCAAATCATTAATTTTGCAAATGATTATATGAAAGTTTTTCTCATAATAAATGCAGTCTGATTTACCTTTCCTAGATTTCATCCCTATCCTGTGATTCTAGTTGGCTCTTACAAAATTCTGTTGCATATGCAAGTTTGCAGGAACTGAGATTAATTCTGATTAATCCTTTTTTACTGCATTTTGTTGTGGCTAAGTTCCCACTTAAGCGTAATGAACCATTTTTAGAAGAAAAAGACACATTTGGACATGGTTTTCCATAATACATGCACTATGAAGGATTACCTAAAATAAATCTTGCCTTGGGCATCTGGGGTTTTTCTCCCTTCTCTTTCTCCTACCCTGAAGTCAAATGGTATTTTCCTTATTATTAAAAACAGATATGCGTTAAGAGAAACACATGCACGCTTTTTTTTTCGGTTTCAAATGTAAATTCTAGGTCAATGTCGTGTTTAGATTGTGTACACAAATCAGGGCCTGAGAAACATTTGACACGCTTAACATTTGGTTATAGAGAGCCAAACTGAAGAAGTGTTTAGACTACAGTGGTAGAAAGCAGATGCTCTGGTTCAATAAGCCACAAGCATTTACAAAATGCACATGTCTTTTCATTGCTTTAATGATTTTTTAAAAAATGTGTTAGAAATAGCCAGGATACTCTGTGAGTTCCACATTTGTTTCTTGAAGCCAGCTGGCTGTCAGTCTACAAATAATTTGAGAGTGTACCACGTATGAAACATCATGACTAGGTGCCGTGGGGTATGCTAAGAGGGGAGCTCGTTCCTGCCCTCCAGGATGAGGGGGTTCAATTGTAAGGTCTGGTTTTTTGGTGCTTTACTATTTCCTTAAGCCTGCTTGTCTAACATTTGATATTTTTATAGATTACAATAAAGAAAATAAGGGAAATTCACTTATGACCTCAGCACTGTAACATTAACTGTTTTCTCTTTTTTTCTTTTTTTTTTTTGAGTCAGAGTCTGGCTTTGTTGCCTGGGCTAGAGTGAGTGCCATGGCGTCAGCCTAGCTCACAGCAACCTTAAACTCCTGGGCTCAAGCAATCCTTCTGCCTCTGCCTCCCGAGTAGCTGGGACTACAGGCATGTGCCACCATGCCCGGCTAATTTTTTCTGTATACATATTTTTTTAGTTGTCCAGATCATTTCTTTTTATTTTTTAGTAGAGACGGGGTCTCGCTCTTGCTCAGGCTGGTCTCGAACTCCTGAGCTCAAACAATCCGCCCGCCTCGGCCTCCCAGAGTGCTAGGATTACAGGCGTGAGCCACCGCGCCCGGCCTGTTTTCTCTTTTTGTTTTAACTATCTCCTTTCATCTCAGTTATCTGTGTCCTTTACCTCTTGATCTCTCAGCCTGAGTGCTGATGTGTCATTTTATGTAGGCCCACCTCTTAGGTGGTATGGGCAGGCACCCTTGTTATATTTCTGTCCACTATTTTGCTAGCCTTTTTACTTTTTATTATGATTTTTTTATGTTGTTACATATATGTTTTATATTTTCATGTAGTTAAATCTCTGACTCTTGATGTATTTTTTTCTGAATATCTGATGATGCATTATTTTTGTCTTCTTTTTTAAATTTAAAAATTATTTAGCATATAACGCTACCTGACTTTACCTCGGCTTAAAATATAGAGCACAGTTGATTTTCCCCCTTCTTATTGGTTGATCAGTTAGCACCATTTACGGAATGATGCTTCTTCCTTCCTTTTCATCATGATGGTGCCTGCCTTATTACAGAATATATTTTTTCATGAAGTTGAGTCTATTTCACTGTTTTGTTTTGATTTAGATATCTATTTTTGTGTGGGTAAATGTAATTTAATTTCTTGCTTTGTAAATTGTTATTGCCTGGTGATGTCTGGACTCTGTTTGCTCTAGGTCTTGTTGTTTTACAGAATGTTCTTTTATGTTCATCCATGCCTTTGGCTGGATTTTGGTTAGAATTATATTAAATGTATAAATTGACTCGAAGATAATTGACATGTTCATAACATTTAGCTTCCCTTCGTAGGTTCACAGCATGATTATTCATTTAGTCAAACCTTCCTTTTAATTTTTTATAGTGGGTCTTGCATATCTCTCATTAATGTTTGATCATTTCAAAGTGCTGGATGATTAATTGTGGGCTGGCAGCTTTGTGTATGTTTCAAGAGTCTGGAGGAATCCGGCTCTCCTGTACTGCTTTACTCTTCCCGGACTGCAAAGCCTATTCCTCTTGGAACCTTTTCACATCTGATCTTGGCAGACAGGATTCTTTATTCTTTTACCTAAAGAAAATTTGGTAGAGGGGTCATATTCTGAAGTTGCTTAACTTGACTTTTATAATCTTATGATTATGTCATTATTTGCTGTAAAAAATACATTCTGGTAAAATGTTGTTACGTTCTGCTATGATTCAGCGACTTTTTTAAAAGAGAAAATCTGTAGCAAATTTTGATCCTGTTTTTCATCT